CAATGACGAAGTAGGCTACGGTTAATAATATTGGTACTTAGACAATAAAACGAAGTCGACGATTTTATTTTAACAATGATGTTTTTGTTTTTAATTTATCTAACAATGATGGGGTGGGAGAAATTGTTGTTAATTCAGTTCGAGCCGTTCGAGGTTTGTTGGTCAGTGGCCAATAAGTTAAAAATCTATTTTTTTTTTTCATTCAATTAGGATATTATAATATGTATAATTTTTTCGAACTCGTTCATGGCGGCTGAGGGGCTCCTTGATCTTGGGGGCACCGGGCCACTGTCCCGCCTAGCCCCAAGGTAGCTACGCCACTACAACACTAGAGCTTATTACTATAGAATTGGTTCCCGTTTAACCGATCATGCGGGTAGATCTGTTTATGACTTTGCCTTGGCATATGGTCTAACTCTAACACAACTGGTTACTTCGCCTATGCGGATCCCAGATGTGGAGGATCATGTATCTTCCCTGTTGGACATTCTGCTGACCTCTCATCAGAACGGATATCAGGTCTCCGTCGGCTCTTGTCCGATCTTGGCTCTTCGGATCATTGTCTGATCGGGAGTACGGTACTACTCACGATCCCATCGCAGTTGCGATTTTGCAGCTTGCTGCCGTGTTTGGCACTATAGGTCGGCTGATTTGGAAGTGATGCGGTCTTTTTTTGCATCCTACCCTTGGAGGCAGGTTTGTTTCTCACCGGATGATCCCAACCTTGTTGCTGATTCTGTCGCTGATGTGGTACTTCGGGGAATGAAATTATTTGTTCCATCATCTGTGGTTACTATCGGAGGCAGAACTCAGCCATGTTATGGTCACTCCTGTAAAATTGCGTCACGCTATAAGCAAGAGTGCTACCGGGCCTGGACTGACGCATCAACGTCTCGGGATGTAAACACCAACGCTCTTAAAATGAAGTATAATTCCGCCTCCAGGTCCTTCAAAAGTATCATTACACAGGCAAAGTCAGAGCACATCAACAGAATTGGCGAGAACTAGTTCTACTCCCTTCGGGAACACGTGCATTTTGGTCTCTCGTCAAGGCTATCAAAGGGAACTTCTGTCAGCCATCTCTGGTAGACGACTCACTGGCCCATGACACAAATGAGAAAGCTGATCTGCTAGGTTCGGCTCTAGATGACGGGGGAAACACACCGCCGACCATCCCGCGGTGTGAGTGCTCCATGCAGGAAGTGCTGTTTACACAGCACTCGGTGCATTAAGCACTCCTCTCCCTGGATATCAACAAATCGAGTGGACCTGATGGAGTCCCATCTATTGTGCTGAAGACGTGTGCTCCGGAGTTGGCACCGGTTTTAACGCGTCTTTTCCGGTACTCTCCGGTACTCCCTAGGCGTAAAAGACAGCTTTGGTGCACCCGGCTCCTAAAAAAGGCGACCGCTCAGACTCGTCCAATTACAGGCCTATCGCCATCACCTCCTTGTTCTCTTTGGAGAAAGTAATGGAAACAATTATTAACTGCCAGCTCATACGGTACCTTGAGGATCACCAGCTGATTAGTGACCGCCAGTACGGTTACACGAGCTGACCGTCGAGGTCGCTCAGCTGGTGATATTCTAGGTTACGTTGGCCGTTAGTCTGGACATAGCGAAGGCCTTCGATCGGGTTTGGCACAGAGTGTTTCTTTCGAAGCTACCTTCCTATGGGCTTCCCGAAAAATTGTTTAATTGGATCACCAGTTTTCTTGCAGATCGGAGCATCAAGGTCGTAGTATACGGTGCATGCTTCGATTACAAGCCCATTAATGGTGGTGTTCCACAAGGCTGCCTGCTATCACCAACGCTGTTTCTTCTGCATATCAATGATATGTTGCAAACCGGTAACATTCATTGCTATGCAGACAGCACTGGTGATGCTTTATACACCGGCCGTGCCAATATTTCTCAGGAAAACGTCGCAGAATACCGGAACAAACTTGTGTCTGACAATTTAATCACCCTCAGTCTGAGACTTTGTTGAACAAAGTTTCAGACTGAGGGTGATTAAATCTAGTCCAGTTCAATCCCCAGAAGACACAAGTTTGCGCGTTTACCGCTAAAAAGAACCCCTTTGTCGTATCTCCGCAGTTTCAAGGCACTCCCATTGTTGCCTCAGCCAATATCGGAATCCTCGTTGTCGACATACTGAGTGATGTGCAGTTTCGTGGTCACTTGGAATAGAAGGCCAAAGTGGCCTCTAAAAAGCTTGGCGTGCTCAGTAGACGGGACATTATTTCGTGCCGGCGCATCGCTTGCAACTTTACAAGGCGCCGGTTCGGCCTCACATGGAATACTGTTTCCATCTCTGGGCAGGGGTCCCCAGTGCCAGCTCATTCCACTTGACCGCATCCAGCGCAGAGCGGTTCGAATCGTCAACGACCGAGTTCTTTCCGATCGGCTTGATTATGTAGAGATGTTGCATCTCTTTGCGTATTTTATCGCATCTATCACGTTCAATTTCATTTGCTGTACTCGGGTCACTAATACAATTTTTCTTCTTTTTATAATAGCGGTCAGAGTATTCTCTCCACTTCTGTCTTGTTTTTTATTTTTGGCTTTGGTTCATTTCCTTAATTTTTAATTTATGTAATTTAACCCTCTCTAAATGTTTCTTACGCATTTCTTCATATTTAGCCGGATTTTGCTTTAGACGCCCTCTATATTTTTTTTTCTCTCCGCATTTGATACAGGAGCCATGGTGTTTTACTGCAACAAAATAAGTGATTTATTTATTAATGTTTTATACATAAGTATAAAAAACTATACAAAACACATTAGGGTGATGCAGAGATAAACATATTAGATGCAATAACAAGAAAAATACAACTCAATAAGGTAATAATAAATAAAAAATGGAATAAATACACAGATAAATACATGAAACAATATACTCGTATGTATAAATGTATTACAACAATAGAAAAATATAACTTCTCTTGAAATAAATACAAGTTATACTTTTTTTACATATTTATTATTTAAATTGATTTTATTGACTTCCTAGTTTTAATTGCAGGAAATAAAAAAGACTTCAAGAAACAATGTTAGGTATAATTTGTAATCACTACAACCACATCAAAATTTTGACTCCACGGCTAGACGAAAATACAATGGCCGCGGCGACAATGATTTTGACGTAAGACGTATTATATGACGTATTTTTTTCTAAAAAAATATTTCTACTCTTTCAAATAAATGAGTTCTGGATTATATTACACGTTACTAACCCTGAGTAAAGAAACGTTATAATTTTGGGAAATAGTTAATTTAATTAAAATAAATTATTTTTGAATGATTTACGAATAAATTAGGTCCTATTTAATTTCTTGATTCAGCAGGAGTAATATGGCCACAGCCATTTTTAATAAAGCTAATTAATATTTGTAACAATTTGTCCCTGAAAAAGTAAAATGGTCACTGGGACACTAAAAAAATGTATGATAACATTTTTACAAAAAAAAAATCTCAATAAATTTATTCTTTTAATGAAAATGAAAGTCAAAATACCATAAAAATCTTCGCATTAATAAACTAATATAACAAAAAGGGGATAGTTTTTTGTCATATTTATAATATTGGATATTTATTAAAGTATGAGGTAGCGGGACAAGAAAAGATAACAAATGTACAACTTTTCTGAGTATGACCCATTAGCAGTAAGTCAATAAATAGGCGTGATCGAGTCCGTATATTAATAAAAGCATAAGTCTTCAGCAAAAGTAGGAAAAAATGCAATGGTAAAGAAAGCGGGAATCAGCCCAAACAAAAATGTGATATACAGTCAAAACCGGATATAGCGACATTGAAGGGACCACGTAACTTCGGACGTTATATCCGATAGTTGTTATAAGCAATATACACAAGTATACAAACATAAAAATATTTATACTGAAAAACTTGCAGGAACAACAGTACAGCGTATAGACTACAATTAGTTTTAAAGTAATCAGTCATTTTGGTCTGTTTTTTTAAGCTGAGTCTCAAATGTGTTTTGCATTTTACGTTTCATTCTTGTCAAGATTGCCTGATTATCATCAGCATTAAACTCTTCGTTAAAATCAACAAAATTTTGTAAAACTATTATAGCATTAATAGCCTCGCATAGTGTTGTTGGTTGGAACTGCTCTTGGGGGTCTTCGTTTTCTTCATCAGTGTTACGATTATTATTTCCAACTTCTGCAAGAATCTCTTCCTCAGTAACTACGGCGCACACGTCAACATTGTCATCTATTCTAATAAATTCCTCTATTTCAATCAATGGTTCTGTGGTAGTAGATCTGTGTAATTGAGCAGCCAATTGAGCTAGTGGTAAGTTGTCATCTTCATCTGTAGAAGATTTTATCATTTTTCTAGCTAACGGAATATCATCATCGTCCACCTTTAGTGATTGAGAGAGTTCTTTAAAACCTGTGTGGCGAAAGCAATTCGCTATGGTGGTATGTGTGATCATTAGAATTGCATCTAGAACGCTAAGAGTTTTTGTATCTTCGCCGTTTTCAATATTCTGAAGCATTTGGAGTACTTGAAGTTTTCTGTACTGTGTTTTTAAAGCTTTTATCACTCCTTGGTCCATGGGTTGTAATACAGAGGTGACATTGGGCGGTAAAAAAAAAACAAGTTTTATGCATTTTAGATTCAGGACTACAGGGTGAGCAGGACAGTTGTCTACTAGGAGAAGAATTTTGTTTCCTCTAGATTTCAATTCTGCATCAGTCATCACCAGTTTCACAGCCATTTTTCAAAAATAATCGAAGTCATCCAGGATCTAGTGTTGTTTTCATATGTTACCAGTATACGTTCTACTAGGCATCCAGTACTAGGCAACCAGTATACGTTCTTAAAGCAACGCGTTTTTTTTTAGCTTTTCCTATCACTAATAGTTTTTTTTACACGATCCAGTCATGTTCGCAGCAACCAACACTGTAATTCTGGTTTTAGACAATTTCCCACCCTTGCATTGCTCACCTTTGAATTTTAGTGTTTTGTCAGGGGTTAAATTAAAAAACAATCCGGTTTCATCCGCATTAAAGATTTCTTCTGGTTTGTATCCTTCACACAGTGTAGGCCACTTATGAGAGAGCACTCTTCAGTCACACCTTCAGGAACGCCAGCCGCTTCACCACAAACTTTTCCAGCCACAATATTATGACGAGCACGAAAACGTTGTACCCAAGACGACGAGCACTTGCAATTTTCCTTCCCCATAAGCCGAGCGAAGTCGTTGGCTTTTTGTTGCAGGATCGGACCACTTATTGGGACGTTGTTTGCGCTCTGATGTTTAAACCATGTTAATAAAGCCTCTTCCATAACTTTATGTTCAGATGTCCTCGATCGTTTAATTTTCAAAGAATTTTCCTCGAAAAGAGCTTTTATTTTATCTCTATTCTTCCAAATCGTTGATATTGTAGAGTGCGAGACTCCATATTCTTTTGAAATTTCACTATTTGACTCGCCATTTTGCAACCTCCATATAACGTGTGACTTTTCTTCAATACTAAACACTTTCCTCTGTTTTTGTGACATGGTAAAAAGAAAACAACACAATCAAAATCAAAACTTTCAATTCAACCTTTGATTCACGCTGTTGACTATCGCGCTAAATAAGTCGTGGAACATGCAAGGACAAATGGCAAAAAGCGCGCAAGAGGTTCGGGGTGGGAGAAAGTGCATAGGCAATAATACGTTAAAACTTTCCTTCATAGATTAGAATAAGTTTGAAAATTGTTCGTATTGTTTTATTGTTTTATTTTACAAGCACAACGGTTGGTCGTTATAGCCGATGAATATCGATAAAGTTCCGTCGTTCTAAGCGATATTTCGCTGTATCCGATGTTGTTATAGGCGGTATGTTTACTTAACTGTTTATTAGGGATTCGGCCAGGACCTTACCATTCGGTCGTAATAACCGATTCGTCGTTATAAACGATGTCGTTATATTCGGTTTCGACTGTAATTATAATCAATATATTTCACACAGCACAGATTAGTCAATGTGTGAAAATATTCGACATTAATTTGACATACGTACTTACGATATTGACACAATGACGTGTGTGTATCATTTCACAAATTGCACGAAAATCAATGATTGTTATTCTGTAATTATTTAATGCAATTGATGATATTATCAACTTATAATAATAATTGAAAATAAAAATTTATAAGTAACATTTTTATATAACAAAGACTTACACCGCCGTAGGAATCCGACTAGGAGCGGCGCTTTGTCAACCCCATGAGTGCCCCTGTGGTAGCAGCGTCGACAAGTTTGGGCTTCACGGACTTTCATGTAAGAAAAGCGCTGGTAGGTTTTCACGACACAGTTCTTTGAACGATGTCATCCGATGGGCTCTTGTCTCTATAAATGTTCCCTCGGTTTTAGAGCCTTGTGGAATATTTAGAGACAATGGCAGGAGACCCGACGGTATGACATTGGTCCCTTGGGAGAGAGGTAAAGCCCTAGTGTGGGATTCTACTTGCGTAGAGACTCTGGCGGCCTCTCATCTCAGGGGTACCTCGTCTAGAGCCGGGGCGGCATCAGAGGCAGCTGAACTGAGTAAGTGGCGCAAATATGAGTCTCTGAGAGATGACTACATATTTGTGCCATTTGCTGTAGAGACTATCGGTCCGTGGGGTCCACGAGTGGTGAAGTTCCTAAAGGAACTCCATCCGCGGCTGGTTGTTGCTGCTGGTGATAAAAGGGCTGGTTCTTTTCTCGCTCAAAGGCTAAGTATAGCCATTCAGTGGGGAAACGCAGCCAGCGTTCTTGGCACGATACCGCCGGGAGTAGGTCTATATGATAATTAAGTTTCTAGTTTTTTTTTTTATTATTATTATAGTTTTTAATATTATTTCAATTAATAAATAAAAGTTTTAATATAAATAAGTATTGTTTGATACTTTATGCGTGAGTACTTATGTACTTATTTGTACAAAGTAACGCAGATGTTATAAGAAAAGACTAGAAATGTAAATATTAATCGTTGAATTCCTTTTTTTTAAATAATATTTTACCGCAAGTTGTACAAAATAACGATTTATCACAAAAACTTGAAAATTGATCTAAGTAGATCAGCTGGTGCTCCTCAAGGTACTTTATGAGCTGTCAGTTCATAATAGATTCCATTATTTTGGAGAACAAGGATGCGATTTTGATAAGCCTGTAGTTCGGGTCGTAGTATAAGACGGGTCTGAGTCACCTTTTTAGAAATCTTTTTAGAGCGCACTAAAGCTGTCTCCCATAAGTTCAGGGTTACGCTTAGGAAGTAGGATTTCCGAAGTTGCGAGGCACCGCTCTCCCTACCCTCCGCAACCGAATCTTGGTTGACGGCGCGGCGAAGCCATAGACTAGATACGCCACTAGAGTCAGGAAGGCCTTCCACTAGCTCCGCCGCTAGTGTTTCTGAGTGCTCGTTTTTCTTGGCCCTATGACCTTCGCGCATCAGACACGGGGGCGTCAGTTGAGCAAGTTACGTGAAGTGGGAGGCCGCAGAGGAAGGAGCGTTATGTGTTATGGTGCGCCTTGCCTGAGGAGGAGATGGGGGAGGAGTAGTCCTCTCGCGAGGAGGGGCCGCTGTAGTGCGGTCGGCCCTGGTAGGGCCGCGGATGTGTACAAAGCGTTCCCGTGGCCCTGTTAATTTGCGGCGAAGGTGGAATACCATAGGATTTTCGTCGGTGCTAGTCCGACATACCCCATCATTGCCCTCGCGAGGCGGGCATGCGTAGGCACTTCGCCATGTAAAAGAAAAAAAAGAAAGAGCAAGAAGTAAAATACTTGCGGCTAGCGGATAATGTCTATTACTTATTTATTGAGAATAAATAATAGACATTACCCGATACCAGCAACCCGCAAGAAAAAAAGCAAAGGCAAGCTCAGCGCCCCTCGAACCTTGCGCCCTAGGCTTCAGCCTTGTTAGCCTGTGGGTAAATCAGGCCCTGCTGGTCTACTTTGGCAATCAAATTAGTAAGAAAGACATTCAGTAATAATGACATAAATGATTGTAAAGTTAAGAGTATATGCATCTACACCTATAACTATTTCTTAAAGCCTATTTTCTCAAGAGTCACAACAACAAAGTTATGATAGAGTACAAAGGTAACAAGACTTCAATTTGCCAATTGACCAGTAAATTGTTTACTTAGCACTAACAAGGTAATAAGTTCTCTTGAGTTAATGGAAATTTAAACCTTCTTTCGTGCGCATTATGTTCTTGTCTCGTTATTTGTGTTGGATGATATGCTTTTCGTATGAGTAACGGGATCAAATCATTAGTACTTCCGTTTTGACAAGGTACTAGCGGTTGAGCGTACTATTGTTTGCCTTGGTATTTATTTATTTTTTATAAATATTGGTGAAATTTAATATTTCAGGAGTATAAATTAAGATTTGATACTATGATAATTCCAAATTTGACATCATCAACTAAATGCGATTTTTTAATATTCATTGATAATGACATGATAATTACTATCTATATGCATGTAAATAAAATTAAAGTGTCTGTCTGTAATATCGAAATAACTGGCTTCTATTAAGCTCAGGGGGTTATTTGAATGATATTAAGACATGAATAACCTTTTCTAAATGGAATGTCAGTCAGTAATATCAAAATAACTACTGTAAATTAAGCTGAGGGCTGAGGGGGTTATTTGCATGCCATTAAGGATATGATTTTTTTTAAATGTCCGTCTGTAATCTTCGGAATGGCTGAACCAATTATAATGAAACTTTACGAACAAATAGAGAGTCATGCCAGGAGTGATGTCGTCTATATTTTATCCGAAAGACTTGGATATTTTTAAAATAAAAACGAAAAATTGATTGAAAAACGTGTGTGTGTGTGTACTTATGTAAGCCCGCAAGAAGTTATACTTCTTTAGCGTCACAAAACAAAAATAACTAAAATAAAATCAGTTTTATAGATTCATATCATATATATACTACCTCGAATATAGTTATCAGTTCTCACGACAACTTGACAGTTGACAGACAATTACCAACTGAAGTTGTCGCTTTTAGGATTCGGTGTGCGCGCGCATCGTAAATAATTCACACTTATAATTTTTCTCAAACGTGCCAAAAGAAGTATACCTTCAATAAATGGTCTTTTTATATGAGAGAGGGCAAACGAACATGGGGCTTACCTTGCCGTGCGTTGCCGGCCTTTTAGAAAGGTGTTAGTTCTTTTATTGAAGGTCCTTAAGTCGTATCGGTCCGGAAATATCGCCAGTGGTAAACAATTCCACAGAGAAGTTCTACGAGGAAGAAAACTCCTAGTAAAACGCACAGTTGTGGACCGCCAAGCATCCAGATGGCGAGGATGGTATCGTGAATTAAAACGCGATGTGCGTTCGTGAAGTTTGGCGGCTGGAATTAATCCGAACAATTCCTCAGAGCACTCCCCGTGGTAGATTCGATAGAAGATGCAAAGAGATGCAACATCCCTAAGCAGCGCCAGTGTATCAAGCAGATCAGAAAGAACTCGGTCATCGACGATTCGAACCGCTCTGCGCTGGATGCGGTCAAGTGGAAGGAGCTGGCACTGGGGTGCCCCGGCCCAGAGATGAGAAGTGTATTTCATGTGAGGCCGAACTTGCGATTTGTAAAGTTGCAAGCGATGTGCCGACATTAAATACTGTGTCGCTCTGCTGAGCAGGCCAAACTTTTTAGAGGCCAATTTGGCCTTCCCTTCCAAGTGACCACGAAACTGCACACTATTCGACATGTCGACGCCGAGGATTCCGATGCTAGTTGAGCAAGAGGAGTACCTTGAAACTGAGGAGATACGACAAAGGGGTTCTTTTTAGCGGTAAACGCGCAAACTTGTGTCTTCTCGGGATTGAACTGGACTAGATTTAGTCGCCCCCAATCCGAGACTTTGTTCAGCAAAGACTCGACTTCAGACACAAGTTTGTCCCGGTACTGGGCGACTTTTCCCGAGAATTGTTGGCACGGCCGGTGTATAAGGCATCACCAGTGCTGTCGTCTGCATAGCAATGAATGTTATCAGCTTACAACATATCATAGATATGCAAAAGAAATAGCGTTAGTGATAGCACGCAGCCTTGTGGAACACCAGCGTTAGTAGGCTTGTAATCAGAGCATGCACCATCTACTACGACCTTGATGCTCCAATCAGCAAGGAAACTGGTGATCCAACTGAACAATTTTTGGTGAAGCACATAGGAAGGGAGCTTTGAAAGAAGCGCTTTGTGCCAGACGGGATCGAACGCCTTCGCTATGTCCAAACTAACGGCCAATGCCTTCCCCTTGGACTCTACTGCCTCCGCCCATCTATGAGTCAGGTAGACCAGAAGATCACGAGCTGATCGACCCCGACGAAAACCATATCGGCGGTCACTAATCAGCTAGTGGTCCTCAAGGTACCTCATGAGCTGGCAGTTTATAATTTATAATAGACTCCATTATTTGGAGAACAAGGAGGTGATGGCGATAAGCCTGTAGTCAGACGAGTCTGAGCGGTCGCCTTTATTAGGGATCGGGTGCACCAAAGCAAATTCGG